GTGGGTGTGGGTGTGTGGGTGGGTGTGGGTGTGGGTGGGTGTGGGGTGTGGGTGTGGGGTGGGGTGTGGGTGGGTGTGGGTGTGGGGTGTGGGTGGGTGGCCGTGGGTGTGTGGGTGTGGGTGTGGGTGGGTGTGGGTGTGGGTGTGGGGTGTGGGTGTGGGTGTGGGGTGTGGGTGTGGGTGTGGGGTGGGTGTGTTTGGACTTTGTTTTCACATACACACCTACATCCGAACACCCCATATCCACACCTACACCACACCTACACACACCCACTCCTACACCCACACCCACATCCACTCCCACACGCAGACCCGCACACCCACACCCCACTCACACACCCACACCCTATGTTCATTTCATTTCCCAATATTCTTAGGAGCTACCTAGTGTTCGTTTTCTCATTGAAATCTATCATCTGAATGTGAGTAGCGACGGCAAAATATGTCATCACGTATTCGATCGAGCTTGGTCAAACAAGACGACCATGGTCGAAGTCTTTCAGAATATTTCTGACCTGCTTCGAGAGTCAAACTTCGATGACGCGGTATCTTCTGAGAAAACACAACTTAAAAGGAACAAACAAGACGAATATAATCGGCAAGTCGAAGGATGTACGCGACTACATGGCAGTAAAACTGTAGAATAGCTCAAACTAGAATTTCAACTCGAAAACTGGTAAATATATAGCGGAAAAACACTCATTTTATAATTATCTATTTAATCATGATATATAATTGAAAAATATATATTCCAACACTGAGCATACTATACATCTGTTGCTCGGAGACAGTCACCAGGACAAGAAACAAAAGACACTTGCATTCAGAGATGTGCGGCAGAAAACAAGATGGGCAGGAACTGAAAGGGGTTATTTTTCAGTGGAGCTGTCGAACATTGTTTTTCCATTTTACGATCTATTTCTCCAATAATATATACTATTCTGACTGGGGGTAACTGAAGGCTTTCTAAAATTAGAGGTGGGTGCACCCCCTGCACCTCCCCCTCTCCCTGGAACTATATGGGCGGCACATCTCTGCTTGCATTGACATTGAATTCATTACCCATATTGCATTGAATATGAGTGGTGAGAGTATATCAATCGAAGACAGATCGGCCGTTTTCTTGATGTGGAGAAAGCAAATTCAACCTGTTAGTTTCAGCTCCTGCTGTTCAACAACTGACTAACGAGGATGTATGGCAGTGGGTGAGTCTATATTTCATAGACACTCACATCCTCAAAAGAATAACATATCGGTATTCGAATGCTTCTTTGAAACGTAATACATAAAAATGAAAGAAAGAAAATATTGTTTCTTTTATGTGTTGTTAAAAAAAAAAAAAGAAAAGTGTAGAGGTTTGCCGCTTATGTTGCTGCTCTGTCCCGAGGAAGAAAAATGTGGTACATCGGAGACCTATTTACTACGTTTTTTTTCTTCTGTTTCTGTTTTAACAAAACGTAAAAAAATGTGATGATTCATTTCAAACAACAACTATTTGAAGTGTTTTGTGTCGCATTTTTGTTTTCTATTCTCAAAAAAACAATCTGAATATTGATCAGTAGAAAAAAAAAGCTTGTTCAATGTTAATGGGTCAAGGATGCACTCATATGAATAGTGGTATGCAAGAAGAAGAATTTTCTATTCCTTTATGGGAATATAATAAAGAAAGACAAAGATGGTTACAAAAACAACCTGATCAAAATAATCAGACTATTTATTGGGAGAAATTTCGTGTTATTACATATAATATTTGGTTTTCGGAAAACTATCAACCGATACGTTTTAACAGTCTTTGTGATATATTAAACAAATCTCAAGCTCAAATAATTGGTTTACAAGAAAGTTCGTTTTATTTTCTTCTTGTAATTAGAATTATAGAAATATGTTTCTTTTCTCTGTGTATATATAGTGACAACAAATATTCTTCAACAACTTTTATTACAAGAATTTGTTCAAGAACGATATTATTTATCTGATGTTGATGGTCGTACATTTACTGGTTGGTATGGTGTTTTATTATTAATTGATAGTCGTTTTTATGTATCCAAATTAAGTTTAATTAATTTTCCTCAATCAAAGATGGGTCGTCGTTTATTACTTGCAGAAATAAAATTAGATGAAAACGAAATCATTCGTATTGGTACTGTCCACTTAGAATCTTTAGATAATAAACAAGAGCGTTTATCTCAATTAGATATATGTAGAAAAGTATTGAATCGTTCTCCAGCTACTTGCATTTTAATGGGAGATTTTAATTTTCATGCATGTGGTCAAGAAAATATAGATCAAATTAACAGATTACCACAATGGATTGATGTTTGGATTTATCTAATGGGTTATGATAATCATGGATATACATTTGATACAGAAATGAATTCAATGACTAAAATTCATAATGGATCATCAGATCGATCAAGATTGGATAGAATTATTTTATTGAGTCAAACAATCATTCCTACTCAAATTCAAATATTAGGAAATCAACCTATTGCACATCATGGACAATTTTATTTATTTCCATCAGATCATTTTGGTTTAACAGCTCTTTTTCAAAAGAAAAAATAATAATATTATTTATACAACAATAAAAACAACACATGATACACGAAAATTTATTAACACTAATTAATGTCGAATAAATCAATAGATAAATCTTGAAAAATTAATGACTAGAATATATTAAAATATATAATAATATGCAGTCTAATTTTAATATTTATATCATTTAGAGTTTTCGACCTTTGTTGAGTACAGTCATCATCAGCAAAGAGTGTATATCATTATATTTTTGATACATCAATGTCGAATAATTTTTAATTCATTGTTTATTTTTATGCATACTTTTTTTCAATATGATATATATTTATTTCTAAAATGATTGTTAATTTAAAACTAATAGGCGTGTAACATCAGAAAGCTATCTTGAGAATGACTGAACATTTCAAGTTGTCCTCTGATTCTTAAGGGTTTCTCGACGTACTCTTTCTTTTTGTCTCTAGGAAGTTTTCTCCAAAACCCTCGGAAGTACAGTTTCTAGAAACCCATGATTTTTCAGCTATAGATGTCGAAAAAAAAAGAGTTTTGTAAAATACTGCGTGTTAGAAAAACCTTTTCAATATGATATTCCAATTCAGCATGGAAAGGCGAACATTTTTTAAAAAACTGAAGTCTCTAATACAAAATCTAGACTTGTAAAATGATTTTCAAATTTTAAAAACTTCATTTTCTTTCAGTTTGAAATAACTCAACATGGGTAGCTGATATAAAGCTGGTTTTAAACGTCAATCGATAGAGAATTTAAAACTAAACAAACGTAGGAGTTTGATAATATTCATATATCCGATGATCTTGGTTGTCTAGAGGATCTTTAGAAAACTCTGTCTCTAATTTAGCTTATATTAGTAGCGTATCTGGATGGGGCTAGAGGGGGTCAGCCTCCTCTTACGCAGAGTTTAGTCCTCCCTACGAAAACTTCTATTCTGGTAGTTTTGTTAATTAACACACTTATTATTTGCAAAATGCAGTGTGGTTTATTTTATTTCTATGTAATGGAATATCAAAAGATAAGGTGTGGGTGTGTAAACAAAATTCATACACTCAGACCAACACCCACACCCACAACCCATATCGATACCCCGCCTCACCTCGTTGAGACGTACTTGAAACACGAGTGAAACATTTGGAACATGTTCCTGAACGAATATGGGAAGGTTTTACTGAACAGACATTAGAGTTGCTATAGTGAAAAATCAGTATTTTAGATTTTTTTCCACATAGTTTGACCTATGGAAAATCTGATTATACCATTAGATAGAGCTCGCCAGGATGTACTTGGAACACCAGTAGAACATCTGGAACATGTTCCTGGACGAATATCGGATGGTTTTACTCGAACATCGTGCTAACTTGACATAAAGGGTGTTTCATAAGTTTCGACCCCCTTTTTGTTTTTGTTCTAACTTTCTCATATTCCATCGTAGACTAAAATGGCAAAAGCAGTTTTGTAGAGCAACATTTAAGCTATCAATAAAAAAAAATTAATTGAAAATGCATGAACTCAAATAGAGAACGACATCAAGCAAGATTTTGAAAAAAATTTGTCCACTGCATTTTCTGTTTTTTCTCTGGAAAAAATAATCCTTGCTGGATTTTGCAATTATCTCTTTTATTTTCCGAGAATATTGGCTGACTTTTTTTGTAAAAA